TTAAAGCCTCAGCAATTTAAATTTTGTAATTTAAGTATATAACTGATGCTTGCTGATTTTAACATTTTGTTTTCCTCTGGCTCTATAATGTGGGCTGTTTTTCCTTTTCTTACACCCATTTTATACCAGTTTCTCCTTTGTTTGTCTAATGCAGATGCTATGGTTCCAGTGATGACAGTTTATCTTGGTGAAGCAGCAAACTTTACATGTGATTTGCCGGATAATCATGATAGTAGTGGTGAACATTTCTGGTACAAGCAAACAACAGGAGATACTCTAGAAGTAATTGTGAAGTTTGTGAATTATGCAAACCCACAGTATGGAACACATTATTCTGATTCAAGAATAAAAAGTGTAATTACTGACAAAATGAGCATCCTCACTATTTTAGACACAGCTATAGAAGATGAAGGAATGTATCATTGCGTTTTCACCGACTGGCAAACAAACATTTGGCATGGGACCTATCTATTAATAAAAGGTAATGTCTTTATCATTTCTAGGTATTTTTCTTTTTTCAGAATTCACATTTTACTGGGATTTGCACATATGGTATTTTTTATGCATTATAATATCCAAGTTTGGATTATGTATGTGCTTTTCTTCAAAACTAAGTTAAACTGAGAAAATAATTAGGCTTTTGAGTGAAAAGATATGATGTGTATATATATATATATATATATATATATATATTCTTCTTTTTCTGCAAATCACATGCCAATAAGATTTTCTCAATGATACAAATAAACTCTCTAATGGATGTCTCATAAGCATATTTAATGTGAGAATGTAATTTGTGAAATAATCCTATCTAAAAAGGCATAAAAATCTGCATTTGGTTCATTTTAGTGTGAGTAACAAAAAAAAAAAAAACATTCACTTCTTTTACCAGTCAAAAAAATCAAATTTTGAAATTGGTATTGTTGCCGTTAAATTTGAGGTTTAAAGAGCTTGTGAAACTGTAGCATCTTAAGGCAAAAAGCAGAGATTGAAAAGGCACAAATGACCAGTTTATAGAGTAAGTAAATGTTGACAATAAGTAAATGACTGCTAAACAGATACAACTCTAGATTCTTATGTTGTTGTTTTTTTTTTGAAACACTGGTCAGTAAGGAAGTAAAGACGTGCTTCAGGTGCGCTTATATTGCCTATTTTACAGTCCTAGGTAGGGCAAATAAATTCAGATTTTTTACTTTTTTTAATCTCATTGTGTTTTTTCATTTGCAAGTAAACTCTTTCACACCATTATTTGTTTTGACTAGTTTTATTTTTTTTGGCAAGCCACTTCAAATAACATGAGAGTTGTGATGGTGTCAGTGAGCAACATTTTCATCGGTACAATGTTTACAAAAGTAATTTGTTAAACAACTAATTTACGGACATCTAATGATTAGAGAGATCATTAGAAGTATACAAAAAAACACATATTCTAAAATATCTTAAACTGTCATCTGTGTTAAGAGTGGGACACAATATAGATTTTTATTTATTTATTTATTTA